ATGTAAATACGAGGTTCCTATTGAATTTATTTTCCACCTAGATAATTGGGGTAAATCATAGCGTAACTATTGTAACCTTGCTCAAATGAATGGATAGATACAAACTAACAATGCACTATCTTTTCTCTGCATGGCAAAATTAAGTATACAATTTTGAAAACAATGCAATAGCATATCCAAACATTTTGCCAACAAATTCTAGCTATAAATATTTAATATTTATGTTCTTCAATTAATACAACATATACTACATTAATCTGACTGTACCTTGTAGAGTAATATAACATGATATATATATATATATATAGTACAGCAACACATCGAAGCAAAATTTAGCAAGAAAATACTAGCCAATGTGTTCCTCCATTAACATTACATATACAGCAGTATAAATGTTATTATTCTGTCGACTTGTTTCTATGTGTAACACATTTCAGGCAATTTTTCCCAATATCTTGAAAATTGCACTTGCTATTTCAACCAGAATTGAACACTGATTTCCGAGGTTTGGAGAAGATAAGATAACAATTGAATAACTTTTATTGAAATTTAACTATTATCTTGAAATATGACAGAACACGCATCAAAATTTCAATAAAAACTTCATGATCAGGATCCCAAACTGTTTAATATAATTCAAGATTGAATGAATGGAATAGCATATGTTGAAACAGCAACGACGATGATGACAACAATAACAGCGACGACATACATTTTTCCAGCAAGGTAAAAAAAACAAGCCAATTGAAGGTTGAAGATGAACAATTTAATGAACACTGTAATGTAAGATAATATGGTATGTTCAACACTTAATAAATATGGAACTATCCCCCACGCTGCGACATAGTAGTTTGGTATTAAATACTTTCCAATTTGTAAAAATACAGTTTATGCATACCACATGACAGGCAGGGTTTCGCACTAGTACACGCTACAATGAAAGAAATGAAAGAGTTGTTTTGAAAAGGCTACGCTGCTACATTCCTGTAATTAAACAAGAAGATTACATTGTATGTGCTGTCATTTATTCAATATTAAGTAATTACATGACACGTGACATTTGTATTCAACCCCCACGTTGCTTTACCATTTTAAATATTAGAGAAGTCTCACTTTGGTTTGAAAACTTGCACTTGGCAAGGTACATGTGCAGTAAATTTACAAAGTATTACGTTTTCAAGATTTGCGTGTACTAAGTGTGGTAATCACAAGATTATTTTGTATTAGGTGCTACGTTGACGTGATCGCTATGTATAAATTGTGGTGTAGTAAAGAAGGTATGTCTGGATTTGCGTAAATGACCTGATATCAAATCACGTTTAGTGAAAATAATGGTTTTGCTATCAACGCATTGTATAACATTCACCTATACTCCGGTAATCTGTTATTAGGTATCCCAGTTTTTGTCTAGTTTAGAAACAAACATAATTGAACAGAAAACAATTAATTATGTAAATTATACTTATTATGTATATTAATTTGAAAAGTATAACCTGCTAACTGGTGTTTTAAAATGAAATTATCATCCAGCTGAAAGAATAATATTGTCATAGTATGTTTATAAAAAGGACAACAAAATAAAAACTCACAAAATATAATAAGTTAAAATATAAAAATGTATAATAAATGGGAAAGCGGAGATGCACTTATTTATAAACTTTTTGATTAAAACGCAAAATTTATAATTTTAAAAGGTTCACATCACTGTTATAAAGTTTATGTAATCCTAGACATTCCCCCATCCCTGTTTACTTTCACTCCCATATTGGAGCAAAGTAGTCCCTGGTAGTATCGCCCGTCCGACTGGTTATACACTATATAATTTACGAATGCTTTGTAGATTATATAACGCAAAACTATGCTTGACTTAAGAATTATATCTCTAGTTCTATATCTAATATTAAATACGCGTTAAAATGCATGGCGTTTTCTAGAATCAAGTAAACGACACGACATGTTCATCACCGCCCTCTACGGGCAATGGCGTTTCGAGTAAAACGGAGATTGCGAAGTTTCGTGAAAGACGCACGCCGAACGTCTGCCACAAAAATCGAACGATTTGATTTTGAACTCGATTTTTTTTATTTCGTAGCGCACGGCAACGCAAGAAAGATCTTTTGACAAGGGAATATTGCGCTTAGATACCCCCTACATCATCTTAGATGACCACCACAAAATGTGTACAGCACATTAATTATTGTGTGGAGAAATATCATCCAAAATACTTCCCGTTTGTCGAATCCCAAGCGATATTTGTGTCCACTGCGACGCTATGACCTTTGTTAGTCTTGTTTGTACTTACGATTTCACGCTTAACGCGGGATCTCGCAGTGAACGGAAAATGGTCTATTGTGTTAACAAACCAACTTATTGTAAAATCTGCTGTATTTTTGTACATATCTCAAAATATATTTGAGGCTCACAATTTGGCAATGACGTCATTACCATGTTTTATCTCTAAATGACTCTCACTGTTAGAGTTCATATATTATCATAACATAAGAGTTGTTGTAACTGGTTATGAAAAATAATGGAAACTGTATAGTAAACAGACCCATTTTGAAACAAAACTTGACTGATGTATAACTAATGTGTAAATGTTGAGGATGAATCCAGTTTAGTGTCAGTGGAAAGGCTTGATTTGGAATACGGTCAAAATACAAAATTATGCATCAAAAATCCATTACGTTCAATGTGTTAACCATTATTAAACTGCATTCCTTTTTGTACGTCTTTGATAATCCGTAATTATTCACGGCCATTGCTTAAAAGTCGAGAATTAAAATCAATTATAGCTCAACACATTTCTTACTCCTTTGAGCGTTTCTAAAAACAGTACTGAAAGGTTCATTACCGCCCGTTTACTCCTTCAGAATATGTCTCTCCTAAATTTAATATTGAAAATAAACAACCTTTATATGTTATATATACTAAAGTTCGTCATCTATAAATTATGTACACAGCGGACCTATATCATGGCCATTACTCATTTTACTCTTCAAGCCCTTTCCACGTTCGTGGCGATCAGCGGAGTCACTGCACCCTCATTTTTCCGTGTTCCAAAACAGCGTAAATACGTTATTTGAGATACAAAAATGTATTCATTGAAGTGTGCATTACTTTCTACCCCCTGATGGGGGCACTTGGAGGATTTGTGTACGGGTCCAAACATTGTTATTGGACATCTAAATCTATTTTCAGGTATTATTACAATATATTTTGAGCCATGTTTGGTAAAATAACCCGTTTGCAAATGAATAATTAACAATGTTGAACTGCTTACAAAATACAACAATGTCGAAATATTTGTATCAGTTATCAGTGAAATGACGGGGCATACGTGACACGCACGCTTTTGCTGTCATTTCATAGCAGCCTCATTGCGACTCCACCCCTCTCCCTAGGAAAAACTTTAGATGTGACCAAAAAGTTAGGAATACCTAAGGTTATGCTGACATTCAGTTATTATAATTGTACATTTTCAGGGAACAGAAGCTCGTCAGCCCATGTCGATGCACTTGTAGCAAAGGGGTTTCGAGTCTATAACGTATGTTGTTAGAGAATCTCCCAATACCAAAGTGACCATGACCATATCAGTGATCGCTTGGTGGCGCCTTTCAATGAACAAGTTTTATACTCGCATTTCTCAACCAAATGTCATAACCAATTATATGAAAACATGATTTATATAAACGCTTTAGTGGTTCAAAAATATTGAAGAAACCTTCTAATTCCTGTTTTTCACCAGAAACTTTATCCATAATCGTTAGAGGCTCCACGTGTAATGAACAACGTTTTCAAAAATTTGAGGAAAAACTCTGCCTCCAGGTCAACTACATACGTTGCACCTTGGAAAAGTATAAGGTGAAATGTCGTATTTACACTAACGGTTTACAAAATATGTCACGGTTAATTAACCAAGACAATGCCGGTTTACATATACAGTTACATGTGGCAATTACACTTAGCATACAAATACAAGTGTGGAAATTACATTCTGCATATGAATACATATGCATGAGAACTAAAGGTTACAGAAATAAACCATCGACCAAAACAATGTATCACATGACTATATTTGTTTTATGTAGATAAAATTAGACACATAATTCGCCGTATGAACATTAGTAATCGCCACAGTTGTTTTCATATTCAGATTAGATATCGTCACAGTATTTTGTTATATGCAGATTAGTGATAATCACAGTTTAGGTTCATGCAGACTAGTAATTCGCTCACTTGTTAGTGTCAGACATTTCTATACTTTGAGCATGAACAGGCGTAAATTGATAAAGTTTCTTAAGTTAGATTTGAATCATGAGTTTTGTATCGGTTGATGATACATTCAACCGCTACTCTATGAACAATTTTTTTGTTGAAACATATAATTAAAAGTAAACGTTTCAGAAATAGCTTCGTCATTACGTGATATGCACGACAATTCACTAAATAGAACATCTAATTCGTATACAAATATATCGTTCCACAGCAGTGTTTTTGTCTAGCTATAATTCGTTATAGTTAAGCAAAAATAAACAAGCAATTGTAAATTTGTTTTATTATTACACTTTTAAAAGTTCTAATCCAGACGGAGTAAGATTGTGGTGTTACAAATGTGCTTACAATGGCAGAATAAGTCTCGATTAAATGCGTTTGCTTATCTCGGACGAACACAGCCTCACTGGTATATTCACATAAAGAGTGCACCGTGGATAACATGCGACACAAAACATCTGTGGCTATAACATTTAATCGCAAACAATCAGCTGAAACGTTGGGTTAGAGTGGGGGTTTGTGCTCACTCTTACAGAACACAGCATGACAATATAATAAACGGTGAAACAAATGTTTTTGTCCGAGACGGCTTTGCTGAGCTGTACTTTACTTCTTTGGTCTGATTTGGTATCGCCACTCGTAAGCATAGCCTAACACGACAATTGGAAGAGCTGGTTAAACAGGGATTACGAGGCATTTTGAATCACGTTATTTATCAGAAAATGTTATATAATCATCATTATTAAAATAGTGACAGTGCCAATGGTAATTTTATGCGAATTGTTGAGTATTGCGATAACACAACCGACTGCCGTTAACGATAAATATATAATATTAGTATTTGCAGCACCCACGTATATCTCTTTATCGGAAGTGAACAAACTTGCTTTGCCTTTTGGGAACGTAACTGGGTCATTCACGACTAATGTATAGACATCTTGACTCGCATCAACAAGTATCATCAAATCCAACGCAACATTATTGTCTTCCGTAGGACCTACCTCTACTTCATCTTGGGACACTGACATCGTAAATGCAAATCCAAGGTAATCAATTCCGTGGAATTTAATAGCGTCTGAGTTCTTTGGCACGTATGGATCAAGGTCAAGGCGGTCAGCTCGAATACGAAACCCGCCATAGCCAAACACAACAGCTTGTATCAGGCCTCCCGCTCCAGTAATGAAATTCACGCATCGAACACCGTCTTCACCTTCTGCTGGTTTCTCACTAAACACCTTTAAATAATAGAACACTTTATTATTGCAGCATTTTCTATTTTATGTCATAATATTATTTAATGAACTAGAATTATACAGATATTTTAAACAAAATAAACAATTACGTGCTCGATATCCGCACAATTGGTAATTCTGTCCATACACGATTACACTCACCTTGAAAGGACCATTTAAATTTCTAAACATCATTTTAAACATGTCATCCGCCTTTTCTTCCTCCCCAAGTTCCAACCACCCCACGGTATGCATGCTCCAAGTGCCAGTGTCCGGTCCGTATTCATCCGTAAGCTGCAATAATCAATATAATAGTACACTTATCTGCCGATTTGTACAAAAGAGCCCCGAATAATATATTATTACATTAATTACAGCATGCATGGCGTAATTCATCAAGTTGTACGATTGACACTGGTAATTCAAGCAAACATATCTAGAGAATGTTTTGTGGTTATTCCCACATATTCTC